GTTGACCAGGATGGTCTTGATCTCTTGACCTCGTGATCCACCCGCCTCGGCCTCCCAAAGTGCTGGGATTACAGGCTTGAGCCACCGCGCCTGGCCCGGCATTAGAATTTTTATTGGTAAGCCATTGTATTTTTATTTCTGATTTATATTTTGCCTAAACTAAAAAATAAAATGTTAAATGGCAATTTAAATGGAAACCAATACAAATGGATTTACAAAGTAAAATTGCATTAGGATCCTAGGATTATCATTATAATTGAGAATAAAATTTCTTACTGAGCTTTGCTTTTTTGATATTTATTTTTAATTAATTTTTTTGAGATGGAGTTTTGCTCTTATTGCCCAGGATGGGGTGCAATAGTGCGATCTCAGCTCACTGCAGCCTCCACCTCCCAGGTTCAAGTGATTCTCCTGCCTCAGCCTCTCAAGTAGCTGGGACTACAGGCATGTACCAACATGTCTGTCTAATGTTTGTATTTTTAGTAGAGACGGGGTTTCACCATGTTGGTCAGGCTGGTCTTGAACTCCCAACCTCAGGTGATCCACCTGCCTTGGTCTCCCAAAGTGCTGGAATTACAGGCATGAGCCACTGCACCCAGCCTTATTTTCAAAATGTTTTTACCTGCCTCTATTACACAGAACATACTGAGCTTTCTGTCAGTTAAGATAAAAATGTATCCTCTTGTGTTAGGAGAAAATCCATGAACTATATTTATTAATAAGAAAAATAAGTGCACTTGAAACCAATCTCTCTTATTTCAGAGCTCATTTCCTTAGTGACCCACTTGAATGAGGAGTGCCTAACATTGGCATCTGGGATCCTGTCACCATTAATAGAAGTGAATCAAGCAAGTTTGGGACACCCAGAGGAAACCTCCATCTGTATTGGGAAGCTCTGGCAACTGTATCCCTGAAACTCTAGTTTCTAAAATGTGATTGTTTGGTACAAAAAGTATTGTCAAATTGGGATTAGGCAAAGTTCAGGAGATTTCTTTATTGTTAGACACACAACACAGTTTTGTAATACTTCTCAAATGCAGATGGTCATGGAATCTTTCTGTTGGGGTATAGTATTTCTGGTAAAACAAATATTCTTTGGAATATAGTTTAAGAAACATTGCTCTAGAGACAATGATTTAGATCATTTATTTTTTAAATTTGAAGCATTTGTTACTATGTCTTCGGTTTTAGGGTTATAGAGAGAAAAAAAAAAGATACAGCCCTTGCTCTCAAGAAGCTCTTGGTTTCAGTGGGAAGCAATGAAATAATATATATACTGTGTTAAATGCTGTGATAGAAACAATGATTTTGGGGCCTGGTAAAGTGAGTTTTGGAGATGACTGAATTTAACGTGGGAGACAGAAGAGGGGTGTTTGCAAGGCAGTGCGTGGAAAAGCACAGAGGAGGGAGAAGGCTGTGACTGCTTTGCATTTACTTTCTTTCTATATTGTATGTTTAAGTTCATAGCATCTTATAGAAGATTTTTAGTTCAGTTGAGAACTATGTAATTTTATGAATTATAAATTGTTTTTGCTTTCTAACAGGAGGGAAACACACCTCTTTTGCTAGCTGTAATTTGCAAGAGACAGCAAATGGTGGAATTTTTGGTAAAAAATGGGGCAAATGTACATGCAGTTGATAATTTCAGAAGGTACGGTAGTATTTTTTTTTTTAATAAAAACCTGACTATTCTAGAATGGTAACAGTCACTCGAGTCAGAAATATTAAGAAGAAGATTAACTTATAGTTATTGGCATACAGTGAAAAATAACACAAATAGTTAAATAGAAAAGCAATTATTTGGACTGTACAACATAAAAACACTATATAGTAGGATTCACTTTCTCTTATAGACTGTTATTTGTAATCTGAGGTTTTTGGTCCTGTAATTTTATATTAGCTAAAGGGGTTTTATATTTTATTAATTTTATAAAGTGCAGACTTTAACTTTCAGTTTAAAACTACTACAATTACCATTATTATGGTATCCTATACCTTCCTCCTTTGAATTTTTTTTCTTTTTTTTCTTGAGATGGAATCTCACTCTTGTTGCCCAGGCTGGAGTGCAGTGGTGCGATCTCAGCTCACTGCAACCTCTGCCTCCTAGGTTCAAGCGATTCTCCTGCCTCAGCCTCCTGAGTAGCTGGGATTACAGGCATGTGCCACCACACCTGACTAGTTTTGTATTTATAGTAGAGACGAGGTTTCTCCATGTTGGTCAGGATGGTCTTGAACCCCTGATCTCAGGTGATCTGCCCATCTCGGCCTCCCAAAGCGCTGGGATTACAGGCATGCGCCACTGCACCCAGCCGTCCTCCTTTGAATTTTTTAACTTTCAGTTTACAACTACTACTATTACCATTATTATTATTACTATCATTATTGTTGTTTTCAGCCTGCAGTTAGCTCTTAGTTATCTGACCTCTAGCTGACTTTAAATTACAATATACCAGACTAGAAAAGCAATGAAGAAATCTTCATCTGAATCTTTGCTTACTTTATATAAGTGACCTCAGCATAGTTTCTTGGCCATCAAAAAACTATAAGTTAGCAACTTGTATTATGTCATACCCCAGTGGGACAAGAGACTACCTTATTGTCCCTGCCTTTTAGCCTTGGTGGTAATTTACAAAGATGAACACCTGAGCACCCAAGATGCTTATAGGCATAAGCTAGAACATGTAAATGGTTATTATGTCTGCACTGACAGGCAAGATACTAATTGGTAAGGTGTATCAAACTTGCCAGTTAAATATCTTTATTAAAGGTCTTGAGTAGAGTCATTTCTTTATTATTTTAGAACAGCCCTCATGCTTGCGGTCCATCATAACTTTCCAAGTATAGTCAGCTTTCTCCTTGCGCAAAATATTAACATCTTTTCTCAAGATATATTTAAACAAAATGCTGAAGATTATGCTATTTGTTGCGATATGATAAGGTAAGTGCTTATATTAAAAGACCAGTTAATGCTAAATTAAGTTTTAAAATAATTAGAAATATTGCATCTTATACATTAGGTGATATTTCATAGCTTTATTGAGGTAGTTAGGAATGGCAACTAGTTAGTCCACTTTTTAGCCAGAAATCAAACAGAAAGCTAAACTAGTTAGAAGTAGGAATAGTGCAAGATTCTTTCAGGACTTTTAAAAACTTTTATCCCTAGAGATCTCAGTGTTGTTCATTTTATTCCAAGTATAACCCCTATACGTGAGATATAAATAGTGTCACATCTTTTTACTATTTTTCTTTCTTTCTTTTTTTTTTTTTTTTTTTTTTTGAGATAAGGTCTCACTGTGTTGCCCATGTTCCTAAGCTCAAGTGATTCTCCTGCCTTGGCCTCCCAAACTGCTAGCCGACATGCCTGGCTGACTTTTCTAATTAGTTATTGGGTCTTGAAATGTCCAGTTTAGCAGAAAATCTTGTATTGTCCCCTGGGGCTACCTCCTATGCCTTCCTGCTTTGAATTTTTCGAAAAGCTAAGGAGTTCACTAAGTCCAAGGAAGACAGTCTTGCTTTACAAGTCAGAAGAAGGGGGGAAAAAAACCACTCTAATCATTCCGTTGTTTCCATTGATTCACTTGCTGTATTGCTGCCATTGTAACTGGTCCTGCAATCTGGTAATGGTTGACCTTTGCCCCCAGGATGCCTTTACTGATTCAGATCCCTCAGTCTTCATGGTGACTCATACACAGAGTTCACAGCTACAGTGTTTTTTAGTTCATGCACATATACTCAGCCAATGTTCCCAGCATTCTGCTCTGGCAGCGAGGCCTCCTGACTTTACCCAAACACATAGTGAGTAAATTGACCCTCTCTCAAAACTAAAAACCTTATTTGTAGCCCACCTCTTAGCTAGGCTTAGCCTAGACCTTCATGGTAAGTTATCCTTTGAGACTTACGTTTGTCTTTTCTCTAGCAAATATTAGTTGGGATTGTACTCAACAGTCAGGAACGTTCAAATAATGTTGTAGGAAAAGATCAGAGTTTCCATTCCCTTTTGTTATCACACCTGTACCTTGAGGCTTTTTTATGTCCTGTGTAGCAGCTTTTGTTAGATAGCAGAAGGTTCCACATTATCCTGCAGTAGAGTACTGGGCACCAACTTGCAGTTGGCCCAGTTGTCTGTTTCCATAATAATGAAAATCTGTCAGGATACTTGCATCTCTACCTCAAGTTTTTTTAAATACTTAAAAATTCTACCTCACAGGGAGTCATTCAATACAATTCTCTATATCTGAAGTCGGTAATTTGGATTTAACAGAGCTAAGCTTTATACATGACTCGTGAGTATCCATGTATAAAACAGGGCTTTATACCTGTTTCAGCAGCACATATTCTAATATTGAATCAATACAGAACAGATAAGCATGCCTGCTGCCTAAGCATGGCACACAAATTCTTAAAGCATTCCGTATTTTGCACAGTCCCCAGAATGTCATTTGACTATTTGTTAACTAGCTCCAGGGAAACAGTGTGAGTGACACCAAAACGGGAGACAACCAAAATTGAAATTGTTACTATTATCATCATTGAAGTACTCATGTTGGGCCGGATACAGTGGCTCATGGCTGTCATCCCAGCACTTTGAAAGGCTGAGGCAGGCCGATCATGAGGTCAGGAGATTGAGTCCATCCTAGATAACATGGTGAAACCCCATCTCTACTAAAAATACAAAAAATGTGCCAAGTGTGTTGGCACATTCCAATAGTCTCAGCTACTCAGGGAGGCTGAGGCAGAATTGCTTGAACCCTGGAGGCAGAGGTTGCAGTGAGCTGAGATTGTGCCACTGCACTCTAGCCTGGGCTGCAGAGTGAGACTTCATCTCAATTAAAAAAAATAGTATTCATGTAAGGTGATCTGTGAAATGAGAACAGAACTGAGTAACATATGGGATGTTACGTGCAAATATGTTGTTAGTACATGACTTGGAAATGAGGAAACATCAACTTGCATCTCTTTCATGGAACTGAAAAACAACACAAGCAGGGTTTTGTCTTGTATGTCAGTTGGAGAGGACCAAGAAGATCCAGTCCTCTAACACAGATCTGCTGGCTAAGGGTTTGAGTACGCAGAGAAGAAATGGTAGTTGTCCAAGACAGGTTTTGACATCTATTAGTTTTCTGTCCTTGGTGTGATTGATGAGCTCAGTAATAGGGGACAATTAGGTAATCTATTTTAATGAGATAATAGTATATTTATATATAAATTTAGTTACAAGTTATGAATTAGCTAAAATGCTCTGAACTACAATCCACAATGAATAGAACAAATAACCAAAATTAGCACTTAAATAACATTTTCTGAAAACTGTGACACTGAAATATTAGAACCTACAAAAACGCACCCATCAGGTTTTGAGATTTCAAAATTATTTCAGCAATGCACTTCAAGAGTAAATTGTTCTATTGCTTTACTATTTCTCTGAACATTTAAACATGTTATCTCATTACATCCTACTTACAGCCTAGTGAAGAAAGGTAGTAAATCCTTATTTTTTAGAAGAAGCCATGGGGCCTAAGAGCAACTGGTCCAAAAACAAAATGCCCACTGGTTATAGAGTGAAGACTTATTCTGAGTGCAGGACACTTGCCAGGATGTTAAACTGACCAGAATTAATTTACTGAGCTATGCTTCTCTCAGTTTATGAGTACTTTATGTTTTTCTTCTTAAATTAGAAGCTTAATAAGTTTATAGAGCTTAAAATTTTAAAGTGTATGGTACATTAGAGTTCTGATATTAGCTCTGATATTGTCTGAAAAGCTTTAAAATTTCATATGTTTGGTAAATATTTTTATATTATGATTAAAATAGTAATTTTATGTATTATATTTGTTATGCTTGTAGAATTCAACAACAAATTTCAGAACATAAAAATAAGATACTTAAAAATCATCTTCGAAATGACAATCAAGGTAAGACTTCTGATAGTAAATTTCTCATTTCTCTTGGTAGTCTTATTGATTTTAAAAAGCAATATTACAGGCCAGGCACGGTGGCTCACAGCTATGACCCCAGCGCTTTGGTATGCCAAAGCGGGTGGACCTGCTGAGGTCAGGAGTTTGAGACCAACCTGGCTAACGTGGCAAAACCCTGTCTCATCTAAAAATAAAAAATCAGTCAGGCAGGATGGCTGGCACCTGTAATCCCAGCTACTTGGGAGGCTAAGGCAGGAGAATCACTTGAACCCAGGAAGTGGATGTTGCAGTAAGCTGAGATCACACCACTGCCCTCCAACCTGGATGAAAGAGCAAGACTCTATCTCCAAAAAAAACGAAGTAAGATTACATAGTTTTAATTATTAAAGAGTAGTTTTAAAATATATATATGTATATATAAGTTTTTATTTAATTCCTTTAGAATTTAGAGTTATTTAAGAGGTTAATTGTAGCTAATTTATAATCTCAAACAGTATTGTCTGAAAAAATTCACTTAGCTACTTATGATCCCTGAAAATCTACGTGATATTTTTGTATTAATATAAAAAAAGAAATTAGATTTTTAAGTTAGTATGTTGTATTTTTCTCTATAATCACATTATTACAAACTGGACTCATCAGGCAAATGGATCTTCTATTTAATTTTTATAATAAGTGGTTTGTATTTAGTAAATAAATATTAATTACAGTTGATTCTTGAATAATGTGGGGGTTAGGGACTCTGATCCCTGTGCAGTTGAAAATCTGAGTATACCCGACCCCTTCCAAACTTAACTATTAATAGCCCACCATTGACTGGAAGCCTTACTGATAAACAGTCGATGAACACATATTTGGTATGTGTTGCATTATTATATACTATGTTCTTACAATACAATAAGGTAGAGAAATGAAGCTTTTATAAAGAAAATTATAGAAAAGAAAAAAATATATTTACTATTCAAAAGCATAAGTGAATTCTCCCAAAGGTCTTCATCTTCATCATATTCAGGTTGGTTAGGCTGAAGAGGAAGAAAAAAGTTTGGTTTTGCTGTCTCTGGTTTGCAGAGGCAGAAGAAAAATCTGCATGTAAGTGGACCCCTGCAGTTCAAACTCTTGTTGTTCAAGGCTCAACTGTATTACACAGAAATTTGTGTCTCTAAGAAAGTAACTATCTTTAGAACTGGGAACTCAATGATCTCTTTCTGATACCATAAACAAATGGGAATAAGAGTCATAAAACTGAGCCAGTGTTCACCCATACAAATAGATTATTTTTGAAGTTACCTATTGAATGCAGAAGGCAGAAAAGTAATTCCTTTCCAAGAAGTAGAAGTTATATTACGTATTCTTATACAAACAAGGTCTATTTTTTTACTTCATTCTCCATAAGTTGGAATCTCATGAGATATATTTACTTCTTAGAACAAGCTGCATTTTATTATATGCTGGATAATTCTCACAATAATAGTGATTTTGTTGGAACAAGATACTCTGTTACCAGGGTCGGCATGGTGGCTCATACCTGTAATCTTAGCACTTTGGGAGGCCGAAACAGGTAGATCACTTGAGGTCATCAGTTTGAAACTACCCTGGCCAACATGGTGAAACCCATCTCTACTAAAAATACAAAAATTATCCAGGCATGGGGGCAGTCACCTGTAATCTCAACTACTTGGGAGGCTGAGGCAGGAGAATTGCTTGAGCCCAGGAGGTGGAAATTGCAGTGAGCCGAGATTGCACAACTGCACTCAGACTCCCATCTGGAAGAAAAAAAAAAAGGGTACTCTGTGACCATTAGGCAAATGGTGATCATAATAAATATTCCAATAGCCAAACTCTGGGTTCAAAATATTATAATAAAATTATAAAAATGGTTCACAGTAACAAAAATGTAACACCTAATACATTGTGCCATCTGAACTGTATAAAGACCCCTTAAATTTTAGTACATACTTATTAAACCACTTCTTTTTTTTTTTTTTTTT